GAGATTGAAGCATATCTGGTGGCGGCAGCCATTTTTCTCCTCTTTCCTTCTGCAGTCTCTGAACTGAGTTTTACAGAAAAAGCATAAAAGCAACTTGAAAAAGGAAGAGATTGGAAGTTAAGATTTGGGACTTTCTGGGACACAACTGTGTCTTTCCTGAATTCTGAAGTCTGTCCTGGAAACCCAAGCACGTCCCTGGACAAGTTTGCCATCTACTGGCCATGTGTGGAACTTCAGCTACGCGATTGGAAAGAGACCGGCTCCGGGGAGATGCGGCCCCGGATGGCAGGCGACAAGGGGCGCAAAGAAACAACCGGGGTGCAAATGTAGGACGCCAGTAGATCACTGCGCTTTATTTTTAATCCAGTTTTTCAGCATCCAGAAAGCCCTCTTATTTCCAGTGCGAGACGAGCCTGAGTATCTCTGAATTACGGCTGAAGCCCACATTCTGTGGACCTGTTCCTCTTACAAATATCTTTGGGAATGGGTCGTGATTTCTCCCCTTTTAAGTCACTCCAGGCTGAAAGGATGGGTTCAGGCCGGACATTTCGGGGCCGGTAGGGGACGGGGCAGGCCCCAAGGGGGCTGAGGGTGCAGGGGTCGCTTTGGCTGACTAAACGGGGAGTAGAGAGCGAAGGTGAAGCTCTAGAAGGTTCCTGCCGCAGGACGGTGTCCCTAGGCGTGGACAGCCCGGCTCTAGCTCAAGCACTGCGGGCTAGAAAGGAATTCCTCACTCCGTGGGCGCGGCTCCCGCGGGCTCCCGGGGGCGTGTGAATGTGTTAACACACGTGCTGGGCCTCCCACGTCCGCCGGGGGTCAGCACCGCGGCTCCGCCAGCTCGCTGATGTGTGTTCCACCGCTTGGCGTCTCCCCCAGGAATTCCATGCTTAGAGGGGCAAAGCCCCGGTGAAATCAGCTTTCCCATATTATCCCTTTCGATAAATGCATGGTAATTACGACTCGTTTTATACTCTTGTAACTTCTCCATAAAAAAATAAATATTTTAAAGTAAAATGTAAAATATTTAAATTTTAAAAGTAGAACATTTCAGAGGAACCGACTGAGCAGGCACTTTTTGGATTCCCGGAGCGGTGCCACGCCCAGCAGTGCAAGGAGCGCTTCAGGCAGGCTGTCGGCGCCCCGCAGCTAAGCCCTGCCCTGGCATCCCGTAAGTGTTTGCTTCAAGGGTCACTGCTGGGAGGTCTACTGTCCTCCTCCCCGCCTCTTCTTTTCTTTTTTGGACTTCTAGCGACAAATCTCTGACGCGGGAAGACTTTTCCAAGAGCACTGAGTCTGGGTGAGAGTGTAATTACTCTGCCCTTGTGGCGAGAACTTCAGGAACCCCAGCGTTTATTCTCCTTTCCTGACTCCTAACTCTGTCTCTCTGCGTGGCTCTCCCTCCCCGGCTTCGGCCAGATGGGAACGCTGTGCTTCCCTTTGGTCGGAAGGCCATCCGCACAGCCCGGAGCCCTGCAGTTTCCCGAGCCGAAGCCCGTTTGCACGCCCACTGCCTCCCGCTGGGGCCCAGGCGACCCCGGGCGAGGGAGGGTGAGTGAGGAGCTGCACACACCGAGGAGAATCCAGGATCTTCCCGATGGTTTATTCCCAGCCCCCCCATCCGGAGACCCCCAAGATGTCACAGAGGGAACTTCAGCCTAGTCGTAGACCTGAGTAACTTGCTTCAGTTCCCACAGGGCTTGAGCTGACCCTCAGGCTCACCTGCAGGCTGGGGGCCACCTTTGTGGATCACGGTTTTTGGCTTGCTCTCCCGTCAGTTAACCTGTCCCGTGTGCCCACAGCCGCTCTAGCGTCTGCTCCACCCCTTACTGACCCTGCAATGGCCAAGCTGACCCCAGTACTCCAGGCTTAAATATTACCCTAGACAGAGGGAGAACCATTCTCTCTCCCAAAGCAGGCTAACTCCTGTCCTATGTCTGTAAAATTTGCAAGAGAAATACGAAAAACGTCCATTTTGATTTTTAATTTTTTTTAATTTTATTAGTGCATATTAGTTACACAGAAAAGTTAATTTTGTTTTGACATGTTCGTACACGCATACATGACACGGTGCCTTGATTGCTTTCACCCCCCTTTGCTCCCTGTCCTTTTCTGCACCCCTTTCCCAATGCCCTCCTGGTCCCTGAGAGTGTCCCAAGACATACGGCTTCAAACAATCATTCAGAGCCACATATTTCTTTTGAGCAACAACAGAATCAAACTTTCTCAGCTGCAGAGTTCTGGGGCGTACAGGCTGGTGGGAGAGGAGGCGAGGTGGCGTGAGATTCCCGCTCAGGGGACTCAGGAGGAAAGGCCACCACCGTCCGCCTGTGAGCATCGGGCCCCAGCAGGGCTCTTGGAACACCAGCCCAAATGGGAGGGGCTCGGGGCCATGTCACCCGTTTCCCCTCCAGAGAGAAAACAAACCGGAAAGGACCGTGGCATGACCGGCCGCTAGGCTATGGGGGCTGCGGATCCTTCTTTCCCTTCCTGTATAAGTTCGCCGCTCCGTGAACCACATCGTCTTCATGGTGAGTTGACCTGAAGCTCTCAAAGCTACTTTCCCCCAGGTCCCCGGGAGCAGAGCCTGAAGCCTGAAGGAGAAATCATCGCCTAATTTCTGTGTGTGTAAAAGACACCTCTTGGGTTCATGTTTTTCTTATTCTCGTCTTTTATCATCTTTCTTGTTCAAATCTTCCTTCTTCCTAAGATTCTCCACTCCCCGTATCAGCACACCTAACAACTAAATACTTTCTATCATATCTATATGCTCGTTCTACCTTTTAAAGAATATTCAGTGGGAGCAGTGTACATATTACCCTTACATTTACACAGGAAGTTGGGACTCCAGGAATCAACTATCTATCCAAGTACGTTTTCTCCAAATTCATGGGAAATTTTGAATCAACATATGAGACATCTTAAACTTTTGTCACCTGTTGGCTGAGGGAGTCATGAATATGCGTCACTCCTGTAGCAGCTCTGGAAAAAGACACAGTGCTGAGTGAATCCTGCCTTGAAGAAAACCTCGTGGGCTCAAGACTGTGCATGTGTCTCTGCCGCCCTCTGGTGGTCGCGTAGATCCTCCGTCGCTCCTGTTCTCCCTCTTGCCGTCGCTAAGATCCTCCTTCTTCCCACCGCCCTGCTAGAAGCATTTGTCCACCCCGCGTCTCCCGGAGGTGGACGCTAATCAGCGTTGCAAAGAGAGTGTGTCTTCTTTTTGTCTTCCACACAGGGTGTGTACGCAGAACATCCACCCATAGCAAATAGTGTAAATTAGGACATAGTTTTCATTTCAAAATTGGAGGACTTTTGAGGACGTGTGTACAAATGGTTTGTGAGGGAAAGCACACGCAAGTTTAAATGAAGCTTCTTTATGGAGTCCACTGGTGCCCATGTGATGGGCCATAAACAAAAATTCAAAAGTGGACACTGACTGAGGAATCCCAGCACAGGGTGCAACATTGTGATGGCACAAAAGGTGTTTCCACAACACGAATTCTGATGTGAAAATTAATCTTTCTATTTTTATATTATTTTAATTTTTATGTCAAAACTATGAAGTCTTAGAGCAGAAGAATTAATTTGCAGTTTCCGGGTAAACTCGGTGACTTTCACAGCGCCCATTTAAAATCTGTCCCGCTCCTGCCATGTTGGTTCTGAGTGCCGCGGAAGGGGACCCTGCGGGGCGGGTGTGGGAGACCCTCCTCATACCTCCAGCGCCACCCCCACTGCATCTCATGGTCGCGTCATGCTCCCCGGTGTCACTGTCTTTCAAATACCGGTGAAGATGACTGCTGTTTCTGGAACACCACGTTCCTCTTACTGTAATATTCCCTGCCAGCAATTCAGGCAGCAAACTTTTATTCCAACATTTTCATCTTCCAGGACCGACCTCTTCCTGCCTCCTTACTCTCTCACACTGCTGGAGAGGAGTCTGTGGGCACTGCTGCCATCTGGGAGCCAGAGGCCAAGGAGGGAGCAGACCCCTCTCTTCTAACTGAAGGAGAAAGGGTTACAGGCCCCGGGCCCTCATTAATGGTGAACTGTTTTTATCTCCTCTGCAAACCCCTCATCCTCCACCATGAGGGGTGTCCTTTCTAGACTGAAGGAGAGAGGAGGAAATCCCTCCACGGAGAACAGTAGCAGCACATTAGGCGGCCCAAGTATGGGCTGTGTGTAACAACGGCAGGAAAGAAACCTCTGGACAAAGCAAAACTTATCATAAGGCTACATGTATGTGTGCGATTCGATTGAAATGAAAATCTCCAATTAAGTTGCACATCTGGAGGACTCTTAAACCACGGGCATGGATCTGCAGACCCCTCACATTCAAGTAAAATGGACCTCAGAGGAATGAATGTCAAGGAAAATCAGACTGAAACAGGAGCACACACAAGGGGGCCCAGAACCTTTGCCGTCACATTCTTTGTGCCAAGATATGATGTGGAGAAGTGGAACAAAATTCTCTGGCTAAGTATCTGAGACTAATTAAACCCTTTACTGTTCAGCAAAAGGAGAAAAAAAAAAAACCTAGAGTATAAAGAGCAGTAAAAGTAGCCCCCAAGGACCTTGACCCGAGGTTCGGGTCTGGGAAAAGCACTTCCTGTCTGCACCTCCTCTCCTCCTCCATGGAGTAAGAGGGGGCACATTTGATCGTCAGTCTTGCTGCCAACACTGCAGCCCAGGGGGCACCAATTTCTGGGGAAACCTGGCCCCAGGTGTGGAGTGTCTGATGTGAGGCAGGTAGAAAGCAGTGTGAATGAGCAGCATGAGGCGCTGCCAGAGCAGACGGTGGTTCTGCGTGAGGATCTCACCCGCACAGGCGGAGTGTGGAAGAGGGACCTGGAATGCACCGTAGCTTTCTGGGGAGAGTGCGCGGAGTCAGGGACACAATAGTATCGGCAGGTCTAAACAACTCCCAAGGACAGAATCCAGTCAAAGTTCATGTGTCCTCCAAGTTTCACTTTTGAAAGTATTGTAGCCGGTGGGGGAGGTGAGCGTGCTACTACCTTGATTGGAGTCTCCCGTTCAGAGAGCACCTCGGGGGCTTGGCTCTGCGTCCAGCTTGGCAACATTAATTCTCCCTTCACCCAGAGCTCCGGGAAATCAGGGCCACCTCCGCCCGCTCTGCTGCCCCATAGTTTGTCTCCAACAATCGCCCTTCAGGACTTTGATCTACTTTTCAACACCTGCTGTGTAGCTGAAGGGCACTCCGGAGATCAAGTGAGGAGAAGACCCAGGGGCCTCTGATTTCCCACGGGGGGGAAAGCACGTGAGTGGATGGAGTGTTTGGGGAAGAATGGCCATGGGAAAGTCAGAAGTTCGCTAAGACAAGGAGGGGGGCCCACAGGCAGAGCCACTGTCCTGGGGAAAACTCTGCTACCTGTTTATACCTTTCATTTACATTTTCTATTGATCTTTCTGTGGCCATTTTTCAAAGTGCTACCATAGTCCATTTGGTCTTTGCAGCGTTTCCGTGAGGGAGGCTTGCTATAGAAGGGTACTATTTTAAAATCAGAGCATCAGGATCGTGTTTTTCCTTTTTCATGTATGATGCTGGGCTTGTGTCTCTGAATCGTGATTACATGGTGATTCTACAGCTTGGGAAATGCTAGCAATGATTGTCTGCACCAGGGAGGAGAGAATGTAGAAGTTCAAGGAAGTAAAAGATGTCCTTGGTCTTGAAAGTGGAAACAAAGTCACCCGGTCTTCTAGAAATCTTTTTTACTATACTCCGGTTTCTCTTCAGATCCTATAAATCTTTCGCCTTTTTTACTTTGCCTTCTCTCTAAAAAAATATGTTTCAACATGCAACAAACTAGAGTTACTTTGAGGTTTATGTAGACATAGGAATTTCAAACTTCATGCATGAACTGAATTAATGTCAGTTACAAAGTTTAGACAAAACAAATATTGTGACTACTTGGTCTTTAAGGGATTTAACTTTTAACACATTTTACTTGAATGAAATCCTGAATATTCATGATTTGTAGTAATTTGTGATTTTCTGTGACGTGAGTTCGAACAGCACAGACATGGAGTGCTGGAATTCATGACTGCTAGTCACCCAACATTTAAACGCAAGTAACCCTTATCACTACGTCCTAACACTTGCATTTTATGTAGAAAATTCAATGGACTATGAGTTGCTTTGAGAATTGGGTGAGGCAGATCCATATTAAATCACATATTATGATGATATCAAAATTTATCATATTTAATATCAAGAGCTGTTTCAGATGATCCTTGGTCCACATTCAGATGTAAAATAGGAAAGTAAAAAGCTTACAATTAAAATATTCTAATTAGAGTTTGCAACTTAAGCCCAATATTTGTGCTCCAAAGTATGTGTCCAAAGATTTTCAACCTGGCAACAGCAGAGAGTCCACAGCAGGGTTCTCCCTGGGCATTATGGATATGATGGGCTGGAGAAGTCTTTGCTTTAGGGGCTGTCTTGTACACTACAGGACGCTTAACAGTGTCACTGGCTTCTAACCATTATATGTCCCCCTCTGTCCAGTTGTGACAATCAAAAATGTCATCAGACATTGACAAAATGCCCTCTAAGGGTCTCTTTTGAGAATACCGATCCAAAGCAGTTGTCCTTCCTTCATTCCCTCTCACAAATCTCTCCCAGAGCACTGGGGGAGGTTCAAATGCATTTTCACATTTTCCAGAAGCTTCCATGATTTAGACACTTTTTTTTCCTGTAGGGTATGCTAAGCTTTTCCCTCCCTACTTTAAAATCAAATACCTACCTAGAGGAACAAAAAACCTGTAAAGTGATGGGTAGCACGCACGGGGCCTTCGTGGTCCACAGCACTGAGGAATGGTGGTTGGCATGAGCTTTGTAGAAATTTCTTTGCTGTTGTTTGATGGAAAATATTTCTGCTCTTCACAAGAGGAGTTGAGGAGGCACCCGAAATGTCCTTTAGCCTCAAGAAAAGTAGAGGATTAATTTCACAGGTGAGCTACTGACGGTCTGTACTGTCTTGTAACAGTCTCATCTTCATGTAGATATGTGGATCCTTGAGACCTGCATTTATGACTGAGCTAGTAGGTATACCTTAAACGAAAGTAGGTGTTTTTAGAAAGAAGACAAAGTAATATTAAAGTAGCAATAATCTCTGAAATCTCCTGATTCACAATCTCCATTTCAGATAGTTGACTTCTGGACATCCTCTCCCATAAAAATCTCACTAAAAGGAGTTCCTGGAAAAGACAAGTAGTAAATGACTCGACATTGCTCCAGAGCTGCTTCTTCCAACTTAGTGTGAAGCAAATCAAGGGTGGTGGCACATGCCTGTAATCGCAGCACTTGAGTGGCTGAGGCAGGAGGATTGCTGTGAGTTCAAGGCCAGCTTGGGCTACATAGTGCATTCAAAGCTAGCCTGAGCTACATAGTGAGACCCTGTTTCAAACCAAAAACAGCAAATTTTGAGAAGCAAATTTTTATCTTAATAAGATACCTAACACATCAATATAGTAAGTCTTACATGTCTTCCACTCTGAATTTTTCCTTCTCCACATTAAGGCTGTCTGTCCTGGTGAGGTTTTTATTATTATTATTATTATTATTATTATTATTATTGTTATTATTATTGTTTGGTACCGGGGCTTTTTGGATTTGCTGATCTCTCTCAATTAGGGTATTTCTGTTATTCATTCCTGTATGCCTTCAAGACTACTCTGAAAGCCACTTAACATCATTTTCCGTGACATCTTCTTATACAGCACCACCTTCATGGCTCTTTCCTTCACTTTCCAAAGCCCCTGTGCCCCTGAGTTCTCTGAATGATGGCACCAAATGCTGGCTTCCTGGTGGGACAACAGGGAAGCAGAGCTTTGAGCTCTGCCCTCTACATCTAGGCAATGGTGATGACGAGGGGCTGAAGGAGGATCAAGGGAAAGATGAAAACTATTTGAATCTTGCTCTATGATTTCTGTGTGGTCTCAGGTTGACCTATGCAGTTTTTCATTTTTGAATATTATTGTCTGCTGAGCTCAGGAGTGCTTTTCATTTCTATCCTAAAGCTTCTTTAGGCCTAAGAAATGAAATGCAGCACAGTAGGGGAAGGGGTTGGACACCGTCAATAAGTGCAAAGAAATCAAGCCTTGGATATTTTAATTTTTGATCAGGAAGGGATTGATGTTGATTTCTTATTAAGACTGAACAACTTTGGAAACCACAGAACGTAGCCTCACTGAGGCAGTCTGTCTTCTCCTTGTGTGTCCCAGGGAAGATGGTGGAATTTCCAGGGTACAGTCTATCCGGCGTGATTGCCTCCTACCTCTTCATCCTGCTGACCATGAAACCACAAGGTAGGCTCCTCTTCTTCCTTTTGCTGTACACTGTAATGCTCCTGTGATCCCAGTGAGGCACTGACCTCACCTCAAAAGGGCTAGTACAGTATTTAAGAGTGCAGGTCCTGTGGCCCAAGCACCCGTGTTCCAAAGGGGCTTTCCATTCCCAGCCGTGTCACCGTCGGAACATTATTTAAGCACCTTGCTCTTTAGCTCCTTGTGATGAGAGTAATCATGGTAACTGTGCTTCACAGGCTTTAAGGGGCAATGAAATTTACGCAGAGAGCGCTAGGGTCAGCGGGGGTGGGGGGCGTGGAGCTGTTCATCCACTCTCGTGATTCCATGCATTAGAAAGCTTTGGGAGCAAGAAAAGCAGCTACTTATTACCATCCATTAAGCAGATACGTGTAAATAAGGAACTAGAAGCACACTTCCAGGAAGTGGAGCTGGAAATCTCAGTAGCTGGCTTGAAGCAGACAATGTGCTGCACTTTGGAAAACAATGACGAAAATTCATTGTGGGAGGGAAATAGTAGAGCTCCATGGCCGTGCAGCCTGGAAAAGTGGAAGAAAAACACGTGGACCGGCATCGAGAAGGAAGCTGGACAGGGTCACACAGATTCCGGATTCAACGCTGTAGAGACTGGGAGATGCTGACGCTGCCACGCACACTCCGCAGTCCCCGAGCCTCCAGAGAACTCAGCCAGAGTTTATGACCACACTGAGACTCCATCGCTGAAGAATGCAAGCACATCTTTGTGTAGCTTCTATAGATATTTGTTAAGCGGCATCTATTTTATATTGAGCAGCAACTAAGAAAGGTGAGTTTCTCTCTCGGAAGAACTGAGACCTGCAAAGAGAAAGGGAAACAAGCCTGGAGCATTTAGAATGAGACAGGACATAATAGATGCTACATGTGAAATTGTTAAACATAGTAACACGCAGAATTATGAAATTTTTTCATATTTCAAATAACAAAGAGGGAGGTTAAACATGACTTAAAATTTGATTGGAAGACTCAATCTCCCTGGAGAAACCACAGCCCTTTACCCACAAAAACTGTGAAAACTGCACTATGCATATCCCAATAATTGAAGCCTTAACCTTCTCAGAAAAAACAAAACAAAACAAAACTCAGTTCCTTACCTAGGACAAGAGTGATCTTGAAAAGCTGAAAATCTAATAAACAAATGTATAACCTAAATTCTAGGAAAATGACTAACAGGTTAACCACTACCACAAAGTTTCTAACTATAAAACAAATATATGTGTTAACTTATTTGAGAATAAAAACAACCTAGAGTTGGTGGCTTTACTAGAGATGGTGGCTTTACTATCTGAAAGATGAAGAGTCTAAGATTCCAAACCTGAAAACTTCACTGAGAGTAATAGATTTGTGTCCGAAAGACAAAGCTGATACTGGACATTTTGGGGATGTGTGCCGATTTTTTTAACTGCTTTTATTTAGGATATGAATGATTCTTTCTTCAACAAGAGTAGGTATGAATAATAATGATGGATTTCTCTAGAACATTCAAATAACATTTATTACATTTTATTAACATTAAAATAATGTCTGCCTTCTCCAGGTGCCTCATTCTAATACACTGGATCTCCCAAAGCAAGCACACGGTTCCTTTGACAGTGATCTCTGACTCCTCCCTCTCCCCCCCCCCCCGTCTTGTAGATGACCTCAGGGTGCTTGGCCCTGCCGGTCCCATCCTGGCCAAGGTGGGAGAGGATGCTCTACTGACCTGCCAGCTCCTCCCCAAGAGGAGCGCAGCGCACATGGAGGTGCAGTGGTTCCGCTCAGAGCCCCGCCCAGCTGAGACTGCACACCAGGACGGGACCGAAATGGTCGAGGTGCAGATGGAGAAGTGCAGAGGCCGACTGGAGATGATCGAGGACAGCGTTGCCGAGGGAAGCGTGACTCTCAAGATACACAGCGTCCAGCCGTCCGACAGTGGGCAATACTGGTGCCGTTTCCAGGACGGGGACTATCTTGGCGAAGCAAGCTTGCTGCTCCAAGTAGCAGGTGACTATCTTGGCAAAGACAGAGACTCAGAGGGGAGAGGAGATTCATCTGGGGTAAGAATTTCCTTTGAATCCTCAAGGCAGCTATGATGTTCAGTCCTTTTCTCTGGGTCACTTAAAAACAGGTAGTTCCAAAATCTTCAGAGCAAGCTCCCTTATAAAGTACTTTGCTAAATTTAACTTGCATAATCTTGACCATCCTTAAGGACTATTTGGGAGCCATGGCATGAGGACATCAGTAATTTTGCCAGGGCACAAATTTGTGCCACAAAAAGCTGGTAAGTCGAGAGAGTAAGTCGACTGCAGAGTGAGTCCAGGAGGCTGCCCAGCAGCGCTGTCTCAGCGGAACTGGTTGGCCTGTGGCAAACTCATCAGCCGTGAGTGAGATGTAAAACTTCATTTCTCTGTGTAAAGCCCATTGCTGGGTTCTAGAATGAGGCTGCAGTGAAGAACATTTTGCTTTCACAGAGAGTGCCGTGTGCCATGCTCAGTGGTTCCAGAACCCTGGGTGCGTTTGGAAGCCTCCACCCGGCGGGGCAAGGCGCTGCAGAGCACCGTTATTCAGTGAAGCAGGAAGGGTTGGGGAGGAAGCGGGGAAATGAAGGATTGGGTCTGCCTCATGGGACAGTATCTGAAAAGTAAACCATCGTCTGGTTCCTGACGGCAATCGCTGCTCCATGCTAAGGAGAAAGCCAGGTAAAGCCATTTTCCTTACTAGGAAAGCGGATTTGGGGACATGTCAGTGTCTTTGGCTGGTGCTGCTTCTTTGCAGTCTTCACAGTTAATAATTCATAGATGACTTCAGAGTGTTTCACTTCTACATTTTTTAACATCCATAACTGTGCCTTTTACTGTTATTGCATTCAAGACGATTTGAACTGGGTGAAAGAACCTTTGTGTCTCTGAGACATAGGTGAAGGGGAGCTGATGCATTTCTCTATTAGGGATGTTTGCAATTACGCCAAACTTTTTCTATGGCTCCAGGTAAAGCGGGTGGGTTTCTTTCTCTCCATAGATGATAAAGACCACATTCCATCTGTGGAAAATATAGTGGGTGTGGGAGTTGTAGAGTTGAATACAGAAAAAATGTATGACTGCAAATTGCACTAAACTGGAATTTCAAAATGGTGCTTTCAAAAACATTTTCCCTATAGAGTGGGCTATTTAAATACAAGAACTCCTCAAGTAATTTATCTAATGAGCTCCAACACTACAACCACCAACAAGAGAAATGAGAAGAATGTCCCCATGGAGGTGACTTCTGCATTTATGTTATTTGGTTGAACTCTGGATATCATTCAAAATGTCAAACAAATGGCCTGATACAGACACGCTTAGGGGGAAAGGAGAGGTTCAGAGAAGAGTTCACGGGGAGAGTTAAACACATCTTTGTTTACAGCACTAGAGACACAAACAAAATGTTATCATTTCTGCCTTCTCTCTCACTCGCCTTCTGGACTGAAGGAAAATGTGCCCGTCTGCTAAAATTTAAAGATACAGACTGCAGGACAAATGCAGTGTATCCGAACACCAATTCCAGTGGGAAGAAAACCCTGGAACACTCTGCTCCTCAGACCCCTGAGTTCCTCTCCTCTGAGCGAGATGCCTAGGGCCTCGGTCTCCACGGTTTGTGCCTCAGTGGGCTCTGGGCCTCAGGGCTGCACTTCTCTTCTGCAGGTCTGGGGTCTGCCCCTAACCTTCATGTCACCAGGAATGACGAAGGCAGAGTCCAGCTTGTGTGCACTGCCGAAGGCTGGTTCCCGGAGCCCCACGTCTACTGGGAGGACAGATGGGGAGAGAAGTTGCTGACAGTCTCAGAGCATCACATTCCAGATGACAGTGGCCTGTTCTATGTGGAAGACACACTTGTGGTTGGAGACGTCTCTGCAGCGACCGAGACCGTGTCCTGCTTCATCCACAACCCTGTCCTCAAGGACGGGAAGCGGGCAGTCCTCAGCCTCCCAGGTCGGTGCTCTGCCTGTGGCTCAGGTGACAGGTCAGCTGGAGAGCTTGGGGGAACTAAGCAGCAGCAACTCATATTTGCTATCAGGAAAAAAATCTGACATGTAGCAATACGTTAGACATTACTATAAAACCATTAAACACCTGTAACTAGAAGCGTGAACATTTCGAGCAGCTTTAATGGTGCTTCAGTCATTTTCAGATTCTGCCTCAGAACCTTCCCTCTTTCTGCACTGATTTTTTTTTTTATTCACAAGTGTCACTGTGAATGTAATCTTTTAATGGAAATGTTTCCCTGTGATGTATGGTGCCAGTTACTTCCTGCACTTTATCATACTATGATAATCAGAGATGAAGAGAGCCATTTATTTAATAGAATAGCATCTTATTTATTGCCTTATTCATACCTAACAACAAAGACAATAACTAAAAAGATCCAATACTGTACAATAGTGGACAGTTTCTTATGTTACTAAAAATTATAGCATTGATGAACAATGTTTTTGAATAATTCTACTGGCAGAAAATATCTTCATGACATACTATTCAGTACAAAGATTACATCTGCCTATCTACAAACGGATGTTTCTAGTCATATGACAATTATTGGCTTTACATAACTTGTAAGTGGACTAAGATTTGGGACACTTTCATATTTAGATACGTTGTTACTATTTGTATCAACAGATAAATTAAAAAGCTAAAATAAATGTTATATGTTAATATTCAAAAAACAGATATGATATATTCTGAATTTAGAATTGTAAGTCATACTTGCTTATGTTCATGTATTTTTACACTTGCCATATACTTTTTTTTTTCTTTTTGTTTTTTTTCCAGTACCAGGGATTGAACTCATGACCTTGTGCTTGCCAGGCAGGCGCTGTGCCGCTGAGCTAAATCCCCAGCCACTTGCCATATACTTATATGAAGAATATGCGCTATTTTTAAATGATACTTAAATATCAGCAAAAACACAATTATTGGGTGATAGAACTAATGATATTTTTATTGGGCAGACACACACCTGTATCACTAGCTGTATCACAGGAAAGAATATTTTTCTGTGTTTCACTTATTTAATTAAGCTGAACTCCTCAGTAAAATACAAAACTTGCTGTTATTTTTTAATAGTTTCTCTCCTTTCCTTCAGACTTAATTTCTTAATATGTTGTCCTTGTTTTTCCTCCAGAGAAACTGCAGACTGAGATGGGTAAGTAGGATGCCCCAGCATGCATTGGATGGTGCCTCTCCTGGTCCACAGGGAGGGTGGAGCAGGTGGACCTATTGAAGACTTCCTGACCCAGATGAGAAACTGAGGCAGTGCTTTCCCAAGTGCTGTGCTGAGTTAGTACAAGTGAGGCCTGGAGGAGCTCAGATCTTCACAGCCTTCTTCACAGCCTTCCCCAATGTGCATCCTGCCACTTGGAGGGTCACGGGGATTCTACTGGGTACTGAACAGGGGGGGTACAGCCATCATCTCTGGCCTGTGTGGAGAAAGGAAAGGGGTGTGTGAGGAATCTTGTGGCCCCTTTGAAACATCCATCCTGTGAGTGAGGGCAGTGTCATGATCATAACTGGATGTCACTGCACCACCTACATGCCCTGGTCCTTAGAGATTCTGCCCTGGTTCTCACACCAAGGGGCTCTTTGCCATGGAGGAAGGGAACTTTTCTAGGTGCCTGTGATCCTGCCACTGGGGGGTGATAATTTTCCAATGCTTTGTGTGGTTTTTATTTGTATTTTACTTATTTATCCCACCTTTCTTTAGAGTGCAGGTACTGATTTACGGTGCCTAAGATAAACAGTTGAAAAACTAACCAGCTGTTGTTTGAGCCCCTTCCGGTTCCTCCTTTGCCACCTTCCCTCTGTCTTGTCTCCAGGGCTTTTCTCCTAGCCCTTGACAACCCGCCTGTTCCCTGCTCGAGTACACTTGAAGCTGGACAAATCATTTCCCGTGTCACTGATACCCTCTTACCCAGCAAGTCACCTGCTATGGAATTGGGGGGAGTTTAGTAGGTGGGTGTTAAGTGAACTTAAGCACACTTTTCAGCCCATGTAGGAGACAATCAGGGTCAAAAACACACTCCAGGCTCTGCCAGAATCCAGCGTGACACCTTTGAACTCATTGGGCCATAAACATAAAGAGAAAGGCCTCCAGAAGGTCAAAGACAGTCCCACAACTGCAGGAGAGACACAGCCTGTGAGCCTTGCTCCTTCCAGTAGGATCCCTTCTGTCAGGTGCAGCAAACGTGCTGGTAGAACTTGCAGAAACGTTACTGGTAGAGCTTGTTAGTTACAGATCAGGAAGCTGAGCCAGTGTTCGGAACAGGTTGACACAGGTCTCTGTCCCTCAGGAAGATTTTAGGCAGAGTCATCCTTTGAGCTCTCTGAGCCAACTCAACATGCCCATTGGAGACGGTACACAAAATACATCACACGATGTGTTGTTCCTAAGTTTGATGACTTCAGTGGAGGGCCGTGTGCATTGGTAAAAGAATCAGCCTCCTTTGGTACATATATTATTGTTTTGCATTTTGTACTTTACTAAACTCCCAATTCTGTATCTTAAAATGTTCCTAAGGATTGTATGAGAAATTAAATTTAGTGTTTGCTTATAACCCTACATACATGGAACCTTGAGGAAGTACAACACAGTGGCTAGACCCGATTTAGGAATACTTTGAGGAAGGTGTCTTCAGTTTTCCTTACTAAAACATACCTGATACTTATTTCAATGCTTGGCCAGAATGAAATCAGAGAGTGGGATTGGCTTCAATCCCTTCACATCTCGCAAATCTATATCCCTTTGCTCATACATTGTGGTCACCTAAGAACTTTATTCAGAATATTTGTTTTACCCCACAACAACCTTATGATTTTCGCAGTAACACAACAATTTTGTGATTTAATAAACTGAGCCATGGACAGATTAAGAAGTAAAGTCATAGAAATCGGAAGTGATTAAGTGCTCATGTAATGCTGGGAGTTTAAACTGAAAAATTGTTTCATTATTGGTCTATCAACCAAATAAAATTGTGTATGAATTATATAATCATAGCAGGTAGGGACACAGTTAATGACATTTTCATACTGCCATGCATCTTGGAAAGGTTCTTCCTTAAACAAGGACAACTTGTTTCCTGAGTTCATGAGGTGCCTGTCTACCCAAGGCATGACCTTGAGCCTCAGACCTCCCCTAGGGTGCTCGTGGGTTCAAAACCTCACCAGAGCCAGCCTTGTTGATGATGTTATTTACTCCATTTTGATTCATCTGTTGTGTGCTGTCTGCTTATTCAACAGCTTCCCTAAAACTGATTGGACCTTCCCAGCCCATCCTTGTCCGAGTGGGAGAAGACACACAATTAACCTGTTATTTGTCCCCCAAGACTAATGCCCAGAGCATGGAGGTGAGGTGGGTCCGATCCCTCAGGTACCCTGCAGTGCATGTGTATGTGGATGGGGACCATGTGGCTGGAGAGCAGATGTCGGAATACAGAGGCAGGACTTCGTTGGTGAGTGACGCCATCCATGAGGGGAGGTCGACTCTGCAGATCCATGACACCAGAGCTTCAGATGATGGGCAGTACTGGTGCCTGTTTGAAAAAGACGGGGTCTACCAAGAGGCCAGCTTGGATCTGAAGGTGGTAGGTAAGGATTCTGTATCGGTGTTTCAGATCCAACACCTGTTCCTACTGCATGAACATGTCCATTCTTAGAAAATGTCTCTGTCATCTGAAATTTTCTTAATTTCTGTTCACTGACAACATTATATTGAACCTCCAGGAAGCAGGAACTATCACAGATACTTTAAGTCCACAAACTTAAATGGACTAAATTTAATTCTTTGCATATAGAACTTGTATCCTTCTACATGCATTTAGGGAAAGTGACCTACATTTAGGGAAAACTGAGACTTTTAATCCATAATTTTTCACCAGACTTGTTATTTCACAGTGCAATATGAACATCTGGAAAATATATATAGTTACCAGGAAGGGTAATAATTTAAAGACTAAATTATACCCACAATGTAAGCAAAAATCTTAAAGCGTGAAAATCTTAGCAAGAGCAGAGGAGGAAAAATAAAAATCACTCCCTAGAATCAACTTCCAAATTGTGCAAACTTCATTGAGGACATAGCTTAAAATCTTGGATACTTTAAATACTTCTTACATGGATTTTGAATCCAAATTAGTGAGTATATTTAAGGAATATACACAAAAGCACATGCTGAGATGTTAAATGGAGCCCATCATTTTCTGTTGTTAAACACGGCTATTTATGACTTTGGTCTTTGAGATTATACTTCTCTCTTTTCTAGTATGTCTACCTGATCCATGTTCTGTTAAAAGTTATTCTATTCTCAGAGACAGAAAAAAATTGGGGAGTTGAAAACGTAATGTGCCTCTGACTCTGTCCCAGGATGATTTAGGAATGAAAAAAAAACAAAAAACAAAAAAAAAACTGACTTTCCTCTCCAAGTGGAGTGTTATGGCACCTTAAGCTTTGCTGCCTCCCCCAAGCCTTTGGGCCACCACTCTCAGTGAAATCACTGACCTCATGACCACTTGCAGGGGCCCCAGGCCTTACTTCCTTGTTCTCTGTTCCGCAGCCGTGGGTTCTGCCCCACTCATCACCGTGGAGGAGCAGAAAGATGGAGCAAAACAGCTGACGTGCACTTCTTACGGTTGGTTCCCACACCCCCGCGTGCAGTGGAGGGACACAGAAGGAACAATGCCGTCGAGTCCTGCGGCCCTGCGTCAGGGCGGCCGGGGGCTGTTCCACGTGGAGTCACTCCTGTTGGTCACAAACAGCTCTGTGGTGAACGTGACTTGTTCCATCATCAACCTCCCCCTGGGTGAGGAGAAAACAACAGCTGTTGTTCTCTCAGGTTGGTGACTCCGTATGTTCCTCTCAGGACTGGAATTAAACATCCAGCCAGCTCAGACCTGCTCATTTTATTGCTCTTCTTTAAAATCTAAACAATTTTTTCACTCCGATTTAATATTCTGCTGTATCTTGCACAGCTGGTCGTCAGGACTCCTAGAGATCCTGTTCCACTGAGTTCTGAGCTAGAACCCTGAAGATATGCTTATTGGAGGGATACACTAAAGTCTACTACCTGTCCCTAGTTTACAAGATCTGCACACTCACTTATGTGAAAACAAGACTAGAAGTTTTTTCATCCCCTTGGATTAGAAACTAATTTTCCCTAAGACCATCTTCTTGCCTATGGCCTGAGTAATTTTACCCTTTTGCCACCCCAGCCATTCCACTGGGATTGTGTGATACTGAAAAGGACAACAGACAACAAATGTGTGTTTGCACGCATGCACCCTCTGAGAAGTGCGCGTGCGAAAGCTAGTCAAGACCTTGCATCTGTTCCTCAGCGTCTAAATAGCATTAGATCATCTGCCTCCTTGAGAGCCCCCTTCTCACCTTCCCAGGAATCGCTCAGATTAAAAGGACACTCTTGATATTTTTCCAGTTTCATAGTTTACTGGAATTCTAGGGTTTTCATTTCAGAGTTCAAGATGAGTTTTTCATGGAAGATGCTGCTTCTAGCCGTAATCATTGGCCTGATCTGGATGAAGAGCTATAAAAAAGGTACCTAAGGGGAGTAGAACCAATGTGGAGCACACACTGCAGGGAGACTTCCTGTGTGCTTTTCTTGGCTTCTCTTTTCAGTGGTCAAGAATGGAAAGCATTTGGAGAATATTCATTAATCACTGAATATGGAAAGTCTCAGGTTTATATTCACATAACTGGGATTAGTTACACAAAAATGTAAAGCTTACAGTGATACTAGAAGCATCAAGATTAAAAGACAATAACTGGATTCTGTAACAGCCATTCCCTAAACATTCAGTTAGGGGAAAAGAATACAAAAGGTTAGTGGGGTAACTGTCCTGTAGTTGAAGGTGAGCACTGAGGTTTTCAGTGAGATTCTGTTGGCGTGAACACTTCACTAAGATCTTTACAAATGCTATGGCTTACTTACTGGCAGTTCCTGCTTTGCCACCGAAGGTCTTCTTACATGTTAATAGGGCATTTTCTGTTCTCTAGAAGTTCTACTTGAAATTTCTTATGTTCCTAAAATGTCTATTTGCTTGTTTAGATATGAATAGCATGAAACTAATACTTTTCAACACTGATGCATTATTACTAGGATGGTCTTTTTTCTTCACAGTGAATGTGACCCAAGATTCTAACACAGCTCCCCTGAAACCGACTCTTGCTGGGGAACATAGGAACATGACCTGTGAACATTCATACAACCAGATGTCCCACAGAATGCTGACAACCACCTCTACACCCTGGGCTAGGAGGGGCTCACGTCAGCCACGTGGTATTGAGAGTCTGAGGACAGGAATGAGAGAGTATGGGCCCTAGGCATCAAGGACAATACCTTGAGAAGAAAGTCATTTGTATGACTTCACTGGAAAATGGGTTTGGGGCAATGAGTTGCTATGGAAATGAGTAGTGAGCCATCACTTCTCCACCAGACCTCTTCCTAAGGTGGTCCCTGGTCTGCCAGTCTCCCTTATTTACACCTCTAGAGACTTCTTTGTAACATGACCAAAACTTTCTTGTTTGTTCCTCTTCATTTACTGCTCACGTGGATGTCTCCTGTACCCAAGAGGGCCTATTCATCATCACCATGGAAACAATAACCTTAAATTCTGGAAACCAGAAAAATAATGGGAGTCCCAGACCTTTTCTCCTTCCAACAGTTCAACAGGCTCCAAGTCATGGATGTTTTAACTTCACCCCAGCTTCATATCTGACCTGGAGACTAATCTCTTCAGAGACTGATCCTGTTCCAGGTTCTGTTCCATCCTTTGTATTGATCTCAGTTTGATGTCTGATGATCAAACCCTTAGAAAAATCCAATGGGAAAAGCAATTTGCCCTAGAGGAGCAAGTAAAAAGAAGACCAAGAATTTGATCATTTTCTTTAAGATGGTAACAATTACATTGTCCATGTAAGTGCAGCTGAGAGAGCAAAAAATACAGTTTAAACAAGAATAAGAGTTAATACAGCTGCATATAAAGACAGAAATCTGTTCAATAAGATATAATCTTAACATTCGTAAGGTGCATTTTGAAATTTCTGCTCCAGAGTTTTTCAGAAAGTTAACAGAAGTCATGGAATGAAGGAAATTCTTAAATATTATAGTCCAAGAAAAAAATTAACTGCAAATCATGCCTATGAAAACATCTTCATTTTATAGCAAAATAAAGAATACAGTTAATAACTATACAATAAATAAATGTAAATAAGAACTGCAACACATTCTAAAATATGTTAAAGTCTTAATGAGTTGAAGAGAAACTGTATGTGGAGGTAGAAAAAATTTAAAAAATGAGGCAAGCTTTTGGAAAGTCTTAAAATCTTATGAAGTGGGATGTGTGACTCTGCCACTCTCTAGCAGAGTTAAGAGTTGTCACTGTCCTTTGAGGATTGTATATACACAGCATCCTGGAGAATATTTTTGAGTCATAGTATTTTTTTCTCTATTTCTAAACTCATAAATTTATATTTGAAATGATGTTATTTTCTTACAAGCATTTACACATTTTATTTCTTTAGCTTTTCAATTGTGGTAAAATAAATGTAGTATGAAATTGATCATTTTAATTGTTTTAAAGTACAAGGAATTAAATGCGTTCACAATATTGCCCAACCATTGCTGTCTAGTTTCAGAATATTTTCATCACCCCCAAGTCTCAATTTCATTCAGTTCTGCTCTGAGCTTCATAATTTGCTTCCTTGTACCAGCTTTGGATTAGGATTGGTCTTGTTTTTCTAGGACCTTGAGTTACATCATGAGCCAGCTTATTTGGGCTGACTCTCCTCTTCTGTTCTTCTGTTGGGAGCACACACAGCTATGACCCTCCCTCTCAGCACTCCTTTCACTGTGTCTCCTAAGTACTGTCATGTGACACTGACATTATTGTTTGATTCTAGGAACTGCTTAATCTTCCTTGATTTTCTCTGTGACCTGTTGATGATTCAAGAGAATATTATTTAATTTCCACATGTTTGCAAATTTCCGTGTCTTTTTTGCCACTAATTTCTAGTTCCATGGTCCTATGATCTGATAATATATATGGGATACTTTTTATTTTCTTGTATTTAAGTAAGCAGACTTTATTGACTAGTATGTGGTCTATTTTGGTGAAAGTTCCATGTGCTGCTGAGAAGAATGTGTATTATGTTGTTGCTAGGTGGAACACTCTGTAGATATCTATTCAGTCCCTTTGTTCAAAGGTTTGGTTCAAATATGATATTTCCTTGTTGAACTTTTGTCTCATTGAGCTGTTTGTTACAATGGGGTCTTGAGATCTTTCAATACAATTGTACTGGTGTTTCCCTGATCTTTTATGGCCAGTAGTGTTTGTTGTATGAAGTTGGGTCTGCCAGTGTTTGGTATATGTTTATATGTTTATAATGATTAAACATATACAGATATATGCTTATAATGATTAACCTCTTCCTGCTATATTGATCCCATAACCAATATGTAGTGACGTTCTTTGCCTCTTATGATCAGTTTTGGCTTCAAGTTTACTTTGTCTAAAAATAGGCTAGCTACTCCTGCCTGGGTTTTGTGTGTGTGTGTGTGTGTGTGTGTGTGTGTGTGTGTGTGTGTGTGTTCCTGTGACATGTTATATTTTTTTCAATTCTTTCATTTTTAGTCTGTGAATGTCTTTTTAGATTAAATGTGTTTCTTGTACACAGAATACTATTGGATTTTGGTTTTTGATCCATTGTACCAATCTATGTCTTCTGATTGGGGAGTGGAGACCATTCACATTGAGAATTATTACTGAAAGATATTAATTCACGTCATTCATTATTTCCTGTTGCTGATTATTTTTCCCTCTCTTCTGCTTAACTGTTCAACCTGCCTGGTATATATTCATTCTATTAGACTTCTGGCATTGTTGGCTTCATTGTCTCTTTCTAGGATATCTTTAGGAAATTTTTGGAGGGTTGGTTTGGTGGTCATGAATTTATTAAGGTGCTATTTGTCATGGAAATACTTTATTTCTCCATCAATTTTTAAAGATTGTTCTGTGGAATATATCAGTCTCAGTTGGAAGATGTTTGCTTTTAGGGCTTGAAATATTTCACTGCAAATTTTCCTGGCCATTAAAGTTTGTGTTGCAAAGTCTGTTGTGATTCTAGTAAGCTCACCTTTATAAGTGATTTGTTGCTTTTCTCTAGTAAGTTTTAAGATTCTGTCCTTGTGTTGGACTTCTGGGATTTTGACTATGATATGCCCTTAAGAAGTTCTCTTCTTATGTTTACTATTTGGGGTTTTTATGACTCATTTATCTGTATGTTAAATCATTTTCCTATATTTGGAAATTCGTTTGTATTATTTCTGTAAATAAGTTTTTTATGCCTTTTGTGCTTTCTTCTGATTTTTTCACTAATTCCAGTTAATCTTAGATTACTCTTCTTTTCATCATCTCACTGCTGTTGGATCCATTCTTCATTTTCTCTTGTTTTTAAGATATCTCCAAGTATTATGACTGCCAGCATCAACTCTGCCTTCCAGTTCTGACACTCTGTCCTCAACTTGCTCACTTCGGTTCCCCATAGGTTTAGTTGAATTTTTAATCTCCTGGATTTGTTTTCAGTATCTTTCCTGGGACTCCAATTCATTGGTAAACTGGTCATTCATGTTTTATATTGCTTTGCTTAGTTCAGATAGCTTTTTATTAGAGCCTGCTGCAAGTTCATTGATCCTTTTGTTTATGTCTATTATCTACTTACTTATATCTTTTTTCGATGAGCGTGTGAAGCCCCTTAATTCATTTTTTACCTCCTTTTTGTTATTTCAAATAATTCACCTGTATGGCTTTTGATTTCCTCCATATTGAGGCCCCAGAGATCGGCTTTGGATGCTTTGGGAATTTTTAGAGGAATTGTGTTGCCTTGTCTATGTGTGTGTGTGTATGTGTGTGCATGTGTGTGTGCTGAAATTTGCACACACTATGGTGGACTTTGCTGCTGGTATGGAGATCTCTTAGATCTCCCTGCCTTTCCTGCTGGGTGTTGGTGGTCAAAGGCGTGTGCCTTAAAGCTATGGTCACTCTGGAACCTCCCACTTTCTATATCCCTCTGTGCAGCCAAAGGCACGGTTTTCTTCTCCTAGCTCTATGGCTTGTAGTTTGTGAGATGTCCCCTCTGCTCCAGAAGCTCCTCTGTTCATATGCCCCAAGCTCTAGCTACTGTCAAAGCTGAGCCATGTCCTTGTTTTTGTTGATGGATGAAGAAAGCAAAACTGATCTTCATGCCTGATGTAGTCTGCAGGGTGAGGGCTCGAGCAGACTGTTCAACTTTAGCCAAGCACTTTCAGGTCCGACACCTCTGGAAGTCACACACGCCAGCCTTGCTTCTCACCACAGAGGGTGGGATATCCCTCAGCCCATCTTGAACTTCTCAGGGTATCAATGTACAGCCTTTTCCTGTTCCATGACTGTCTCCTGTGATAATTCCCAACCAACCTGTGGCAGTGTGATACCAGAAGCCCTAGAGTATAGTGGGTTTGTGTTTTCTCTGCAGCTGCATCTCCCACAATTAACCCCTTCCCAAAACCTCTCATGATTGCACCCTCTCAGATTTGGTGGGTGCTGCCCTGGACTTTCTCCCCAGTTCTAGTCAGTGTATGGAAAGAATTGCTTTCAGAGTAAAATCCCACTCTGTTTTCACCATTTATAATAGCTGTGCATTTCTCTTGGGGCCAGCACGGCCAGCCTCGTCTGCTGTCTCCCCCAGCTGCTTACTTTATGGGTTTACCTTGTCAGCAGAGGCAGGTAGCCACCCCAAGGGCCTGGGTAAGCCTGTCAGACTGCCTCGTTTCTCTCTCTGCACTGAGCGGTCTCTCCATCTTCTCTGCAGTTTGCAGTCTTCCTGTTAGTTTTCTCCCAGTTGCTGTAGATTTGCCTCTTTTTTTGTAGTCACTGAATTGTTGTTTTGCAGTTTCTGGGACCCTGGGTCCCAGAGAGATTGCAATTCACTGCAATCTGTACCCCACCATCTTTCTTTCCCAACGTTTCTGGTCTTATGTTGATGTCTTTGATCCATTTTGATTTTATTTTAGTACAGAGTGAGAGATATGGATCTAATTTCAATCATCTGCACACAGATATCCATTTTTCCTAGCTCCATTGTTGAAAAGGTTGTGATTTTTACCCCCTTTGTCAAAAATCAGAGACCGGCTCAAAAAATGGAAGATTTGAGCCAGCAGCACTCACAGGTCTCTCCGAGGTTGCTTTCAGGATCTGCAAATACTCAGAAATGGGGATAAAGGGCAAACCTAGGCACAGGTAGGCACTTTTTAAAAGTACTTGTCGTTATGCAGCATCAGAGGTGTCCAGAGAAAAAGCATCTTTTCTCACCTCAGACACCGCTTACAGCTCAGCTGTGGTACATGAGCCACTTTCAGAAAGTCTCTACCTCTGGAGGGAAGAATGTAAGGAGAAATGGAGACATAATTGCAGTTGCACTACAATCTGCAACAGCCAGCCAGGCCGAAGGGACAGAGGTCCTAGCCCGGGTTGCCAGAGAAGCTAGCCACACAGGTGGAGAGCCATACTCACATGGAGGCGACCAGGCCCCAAACAGGCAACTCAGCAAGTGATCTGAGCTCAGATACAGCTAGACCAGAGCCAGGCATTTGCAATCCATGCCCAGTTGCACACTCACCCTACAAAGCAAACCTGGCCCAGATCCTATTTGAGTGGGAGTCCAGCAACTGAGGTAAGACCCCTCTCAAATTAGGACATCTTAGGCTGTCACAAAATCAATCAGAGGGCACAACGATCAAGTCAGAACTGATGAATCTTTGGCACAGAAATAGGTAGAAGTTTGTATTTCGATGGAGACCCAGAAACAGGCAGGGGCACACAGGGCCTATAATCTAAGCAAACCTTCGGTGGAGATGATTCATTGAAGCAGTGCTGACAGGGGCACATTCCTATGCACAGCCCAGACACCATGAGGCTCCGTGTCCACCTGTCTTCTGCATAGCTTTCCAGACGCCCTGTGAGAAGGGTTCATAGCATGTAGAACTTGCCCTGTGACCTGCCTGCTGGAGTGTTTCCCCTACCTAGTCATTTTAGTTTTCCAGGGTCACAGTCACCATTCTCCTGGGACCAAGCTGACTCCTAAGACAAGTGCCCAGTGCCCTCCTGGAGAGAAGTAACTAACATGTCCTGGAAGTATAAAAAGTATAGGGCTTTCTGTTCTCCTGTTTTGCCTACTGAGGCAAAAGGAATTCATGAAAATGGCTCCCCGCCCTGACACTTTCTAAATCTATGTCCCAAGCAGTCTACTAAGGCAAATGGGTCTCTAAGATGTCTCCCCACCCCGACACTAAGTCCACAGGGAAAAGCTTGCATCCCTGGTCATTTGCTCACACTTAGGTTACATCTTTGTCCAATAGCAACAAAAGTCAGTGTTCATAAGTATTCTGAGTTTTCTTGCTGATCCACTGAGGGATAAGTTCCACTATCCAACCATGCTGCCGTTAGTTCAGCACCAGTTCCAGCTGTTACATCACTGTCCTTTCAAAATACCAATATTTCTGCATTTTGCCTGGTTTCTGTCTCTCAAGTTGCAATCTTGTGATTTCCCATGGTCCCTCTTTCTCCTCATGCAGGCACATACCTGTTGACTTGGATGGATATCTTGGTGTGGCTTGTGAGTCCACCTACCTGTAGTCTGCTATAAGGAGGCTCTTAGTAACCAATTTTCAAAATATCTGCACTGAGAAAAGCCTTCTGTGATGATCCAAGAAGCATATACTGTCGACGGGTTACTGCCTCTCCAAGTCTTGTCTTCTGTGTCCTTGGAGTTCCCAAAATACCACTGTCACTGCTGAAGGCAGAGCTGCCCTCTCTCATCCTTGCTATGACTCTAAGGGTCTGCCGGCCTGGAAATGGTGGCTGTGTACTTACTCTTTGCCTACTAAGGCCCAGACATTGATTACATTGGGGCCAACAGACTTCTATTTTCTCTACTAGGTTTTGAACCCAGGACCTTCTCAACGAGCTACATCTAACAGTGCCCTCCACCACTACACCCTTTATTTTTGAGATAGGGTCTCACTAAGTCATTTAGGCTTGAACTTGCCATCTTCCTGCCTATTTTTAAGGGAAATTTTAAGCAAAATTGAGTACAAAGTTCAAAAACTGCCATATTCTTCTACCTTTTCCCCATAGTTTATTATTAATAGCTTGCACTAATGTGTTACAAACTATGGACCTGTAATGATACACTGTTTTCAACTAATCTTCACAGTTTATAATAGCGTACATATTTTGTGGTACACAGTCCCTCAGATTTGACAAATCATTTGCAAGTTTTTGATACATTGATACACACTTTATAGTTTTGAAGACTTATAGTTATTAGTAAATATACTAGCTTTGTCTGAAATACTTTTCACATGTTTTTCTATTTTGATTTAAAGTAATTTAAAATACTTTATTAATAATATGTGAAAGTTAACTGTTATGAGATGCATTCTATCCCAATCAGTCTAGCTCTTTATTTGGTAGTCTTTGTTTCTGCAAACCCTATTATAAATATATAGGCTTTCCTAGGAAAAAGTCTCATGATAATATTTTTTGAAAGAGTCTGATTCTCTCACTATATATAAAGGAACACACATTCTTTTAGCTTCAAATTTGTGATTAATTTACTTTCTCAGTTCCAGTTCCAATAGGAAAAGCCACAGGAAAGGGAAAGGATTGTAGCTTGAGGATAACACCCCAAATCTCTGACTAATGGATGAGCTATTGGATTGGTCCATCAAGGATCCATTTCCTTCCCACTCCTGTTGTGTAGCTGGCTGGGTGCAGTTATGCAAAGCAGGGCAACTCTCAGAACAAGGGGGGGGAACTATAACTGAACTTATTACCTCCTCTTCCTTATTTTATCATTTGTCAATAGAATACAAGGTCCATTAGGTCATTTTTCAACTATTTTGTATGTTCCTACAACTTGAATAGTGGCTATGTTAATCACACAATAAACATTTGTGAAATGTACAAGTATATATTGAGTGTCTGATCTGTAGAATTCACAGTCTAGGACCTACAGATACAATCCTTAATAAGACATAATTCCTGCCCTCTGAATTTCTTTATTCTAGTAGTGTCATTTGCTTTTGAATGTCTTATTATACTTTGATAAATCTTATTCAAAATTGGATTTCCAAATCAGTCAACAATAAAGAATTACCTGGCGAGTCCAGATGGTGAATTCAAGGTCATTACCTTGGCACAGTTCAGTGGGCACTGGGTGACCCTTCACAGCATGTTGATTTGATCTCAAGTACGGATGAGACCAAGACGGACATTGTCACCCCTGACATTTTTACAAGTTTGATTCTAAAAGACTACCCACTCTTCAATCCTCACATTTTTTCGTTACCCATCTCCAGCAATTGATCCCCAGTCCAGAAGTTTAGAAATACAAAAATTCATACAAATAACTGGGGAAAAGATCTTTATAAGGATCTTAGAAAACAGGAATTTAGGCTCTACAAGAGTGATCCTGAGAACTCATTTGGGAACTTCGTGTTAGATACCACGTGTGCACAGTAAAAAAATCCAAACTGAACCCATTGTCCTTCCTGCCCTACATCATGGCTCTGTTCCCATTTGTTCCTAGTTTGCTGTTATCCCATGTGCAGAGTTCTCGTGTACAGATATCTCATTCTGCCCATCATGTCCATTGGATTGCATTTACGCCAGGCATTTGCCCCTCTCCTGCCTTTGTTATGCAGGGCCTACCTTTACTGTCAGTAAAGCCAAGTAAGATTCTGGGCTCTGAATTTGTTCTTCTTCAGTTGCAGTACTGGCCTTGCCATTCAGTGACTTTTGTTTTAAATATCTATTAGTAATATAGAAAGAACAAGAAGATTCCTTCCATAGTCAGGAAGAGAGAGCTCCTTTAAGGGGACAGGCTCATATTTTATTCTTTTAAAGACATGAACTTGGTGAGAAGGCAAGGGACACCCTCAACAATGCGAAGAACATGGTCACAAAGGAAAACAAAGTTAATGTTCGCAATGACTCTCTCCATGAACACTGCAGATGCTGCACCTTATCTTCATAATCTTTTCTCTCCAAAGACATGTACTGTGACACTAATTCCTTTTTCATTCACATTCTCAAAAGAGACACAGTTCTGGACTAGTAACCTGAAGGAACTTGATAAAGAAATTATCTTTTCCCTCTCAAAAAGCTAGGATTTCTTTTCAAATGAAAAGAAGCTTAGCTACATATTAGACTTCTCTACCCCCTGGGAAATGCCAAGATTAGAGGTTTTGGGAACATTGCAGTCTGAAGAACAGACAATTTTCAAGAGACTTGAACAAGTTTCTCTGCATTTCCAACAGTAGGAACAATGACAGTTCACTTAACTGTGACCCATTCAAATGCCATACTTCTTTCGTATTTGAGAACAGAGAAAAGAAGAAAAGTGATTAGTAAACATATTAACATCAACCTATTGAGCACCAAAACAGGGGAGAAACACATTCACTTGTTTGGAATTTTCTTCTGACAAATTTTTGCTGCCCAGAGAGTCTGCATTTCCCTCATGGTATTACTAGAGGAAATCCCTCTGACTTTCCCCTAGTGCCCCATTTCTCTTTCTGCATCTTGTTCCTTGGAAAAGGCTGAATTCTCAATTAGGAAAAAAGACCTATCCACCATAACTATTGATCTTTCTTGGAGAGCAGACCTACTGAAACTCTGAGTGGAGGCAGCAAAGTTGCCTAGGCACTGGTCCTACACTTCCTGTGGAGCTAATAGGGACTTGGCTTCCTGGTGGATATCTGGATGACAGCTTGTTAAATGAGTCATAGGTGTCATTACAAAAGAATCAGGACAACCTTCAGTGCGATCTGAAGCTGAACAGATGGTCATCAATGTGCCAACACCGTGAAGGCTAAAATAAGGATGGAGGGCCTCACAGAAGGAGATCCCAGTAAAGGAATAAATGTAGGACCCATCAACCATGTTGTAAAAGGGCACATCTCCAGCCTCCCAGTCCAGGAAAACTCCTATCGTGTGTTACTGCTGTTTCAGTGACAGAGGGCCTGGATGGGAAGCAAGAGTCATGATTCTTCCTCCCTCACAGGCCAGCACCCAGAATTCATCCTCTGGATGTTCTCTAAGCCACCCCTCTCTCTTTGCTGTACTTGAGCAAACACCCAAAGCCCCTCTAGCTGCAGCTGCAGTTTCTGTTCCTGTATTTACTTTTACCTCCCAGTAATATTTCCCTGTGGTAAAGTAAGTGGCTCAGGACACTGTAGATGGATTCCAGCTTCCCTCGTTCCTGGTATGCTGGGGCATCACAGTTCTGAGAAATGTTCTCTACTGAAGAAACATGTCTTCTATCCTCAGATAGGATGAGGTTGGGATGAGCTGTGCCTGGATCCAGAAAAACAGCCGCTGCAGATATGGGGTGAGGGGAGATCAATGCATTAGGCAGACTGTTTTGCTTCAAGAGAGACGCAAATAAAGACAATGAAGGAAAATAAGAGAAAAAAATGAAAGAGTAGAGGAAACAATTTATGCTCTTTTCTAGGAGTTACACAAAATATAAATCCTAGAAGGCTAAGGCTGACCAGACTTGAAGTAACCACTAGCTCCAGAGAGGTCTGACCTCTCTGCCAAGGTCTAGTTAAGAGGACCATTATATGCAAAAACCCTCCTGGCCAGGTATTTCAGGATGGGGTCTCTCCATTCCCTTTCATATGATTTTTACTTTACCCTTGCTCTTAAGACTTGTCATATTTCCAGTCTTGTGCCTACCCTCATTCAAGCTTCTTTAGAGTTATTTTCTGTAGGCTTTGGTCCTAACTAAGTCATTTGCTTTTCATATCATTAAAATTCTAGCCTCTGTAGTCAGAAACATCTGCAATTTGATAATCACTGTGTCCCTAATAGCTGTGATCTTGGTGAAGTTACTTTCCTTCTCCCACCCTCACTTAACCCTCATGATGAGGTACATCACTAAGGAACCTCTGCATATGGCCATTGAGAAATAAATGATATAGTGTGTACAGAGCTTAATGTCTTGCCCATGACGAATACTCAGTAAATTTTTTCATACACAGTCAATAGGACACATTTTTCTTGAAGAATTTGAATATGTGAAGTAAAATGTATTTGTATATTTGGAGGATATAATTAATTAGGAAATATTGTAGAAGCAGAGATATTCAGAGTAAAGTAGTGTGCCCTGGAAATTAATAATCAACCCACAACATGGGAAGGCTAAGATGATCAGGAACCATTCTGTACTTCACTGAGGTCAGGGAGCTCTTCTCTGTCTCAGAGAGGGTACATGATAGACCTCCTTCTGTCTGAAATACTCTGTCGATGTCATCAACATGGGTAAGCCCACAATATCACTCAAGTCTTGGCTTAAATATCGATTTTTGAGGGAATTCTTTTCATTCACCATTCATTATGGTAATCTCTTATTCCTTCCTGGCACTATCTCAATTTGTATGTGTCATTTTCCAGAAAGCCAGAGACCAAATCTACACTTTTTTATTTGGCACTGAATAAATAGTCACATACATATATACTTGCTTTACAATGGAGTTATGTTCCAATGAACACATCATAAGATGAAATTATGATTAAGTATAAAAACGTATTAAATATGTCTAACCTACGGAACATCCATGAAACACCCATGGGAACAGGAACACCTATGGGACAGTTTTGACAAGCTTACCTAAAATGTACTCAGAACACTTATATTAGCTTAGAGTTGGTCAAAATCACCCAACACAAAACCTACTTGATTATAAGTGATGAATGTCTCAAGTAATTTACAAAATACATATTGGGATGCAAAATTACAAAACAAAAATGTCACAAAACTGAAGGCAACTAGTGTGCTGCAGACAGTCAGTTCCTTAGGGTTGTGCTCTTGAGATTGACTGAGATGTATGGCTCATTGCTGCTGCCCGGCACATGAAAGAACACTAGACTACCTAAATTCAAAGTATAGTATCTACTGAATGCATATCCCTTTCACATTATTACAGAGTTGAGAAATCACAAGTTAAATGATTTTAAGTTGGGATCTGTCTGTATATTCACCCTGAATGGATAAACAAATTGTTTATGCATGGTAAGAAATCTGCTCCTATTTCAGCATCATACTGAGACAGATAAAAAAAAAAGAGACAGCAAAAGCTGTGGGGTGAATAATTAATACACAAATACAAGAGATCTCATTTGTACAGTCGTAATTCTGTGGGACAGTGCAATAAATAGTAACTTACCTATTTCAGCTGCTCCATTGTCTTTACTCAGTTTTTGCATCTTTCCTGAAGCCGAAAATTGTAACTCACCTATTTCAAACTGCTCCTTTCTCCAGTCTAAAAAGAAAAACAAATAATAACATGAGAAAATGTGCCAAACCATGCCTTATGTATGAGTGGGATGTCTACCCCTCTGTCTTTGGTCTAAATTCCAGCTTCAAAGTCAAATCTCTAGCTATAGCACCCCACCCCAGGAAAATGTCCTAGAAATGCCTCATGAAGTCCTGGGAGGACTGAAGTTACAAGACAATGTCAGAATTATTCACCAGCATATAACTGTGCTTTTCTCCAGCCTGAAATAAACAAAAGCATTAAGTTCTCTCATTTATAGAACCTTCCATCAGAGTAAGAAACTACTGTAGCTACATGAACTATAAAGGTTTATGATAGTATTATATTTCAGTGCTCATTGTCTCCTAGACACAGTTCCAGGATATTTGCCTTTTCTTACATCTTCTCACTTTTCAGTCTTCCACAAATCTAGGGTCCAGTTCTTCTGTGAGAGGGATATAACAGGCTTAAATATGGAAGTATGTTGAGAAGTCTAAACTTTCACAGGCTACTTTGACATCTTTGAACATCACATGACTTCAAAAGCCTAACTGTGATATCTCCACCCTTCAACAGATATCTCCCCAACAAGAAGAATAACTTGGGCTTGGGAAATAGCTCAGTGACACAGCACGTGCTTGAAAGCATGAAGTCCTGAGTTTGATTCCTGGTACCCAAAGAAAGAAGAAAAACTCTCAGCCAGTTAATTTCTCTATCCATCAAGCCATCTGATCCTTACCAGGTCCTCAACTTATTTGGCTTCATCTCCCTGTCAGCCTGCAAATTATTCAAATAAGACAATTTCACCATTTTTGTGAAAACAGGGAGTACCTCATCTTGTTGCTGTAGAGCCTGCCTGGGACAGGCCTGGCTTGATCAGTTGGCTCCCAAGTGCACCTCTTCTTGTTCCAGCATTGTACGTGCTGTCCTCTCCCTCAGGCTATGAGTATGTGTATGTGAATAATGAGCTGCTGTCAGTCTCATCTTCCCAGGGCTACATGCTGTGGGTATGAACATCTTGTGTTATTTAGGATGAAGGATCCCTGCCTCACCAAGGTGCATAGAGGGTGATCAGAACAGAGGAGAAAATGAAATGGTAGATCAACCAACAACATGAACTCACCTTTCTGATATAATTCTTTCCTATAGCCTGAAAGGAAATAACAATCTGTTAGATGCCAAGGGCCCAGCACAGATTAAGAATTCCAGTTCTTCTGTAAGGGCAAAGAAAGTGGAAAACTTACCAAGCTCTTTATGGAGAGTTTCTAAAAAGAAAGAAAAACAAAATGTTTTTTCTGTGAGGAAGAAGTTAATATTATTAAGTTGATATCTTGCATGCCACTTGCATTAACTAGATCAACATATTTATTTTCATTGAGATTTGCCATGATGTTTTTCCCTAAACTCCATGTTTAGGGAAAGTGACTTCTTTATTGTTTATACAAGTTTATACAAGTGACTTCTCTATTGTATTCCATCATATTTTTTCATAGGGGTTCTGGGCTTCATGTACTGTTGGAAGCTTGGGGTCCATCTCAATCTTATACATGTCTCTGTGTTCCAACATAGACACAGCTGTATCTACAGCCATGTTAACACATCCATAAATTCACCAACACCATCATGTCTGATCCAGTTTTACCTTTGGCTTTCCTTTCTTTATCATTTTCTCTCTTGGCTTCCTCTTCTCTCCTCTTTTCCTGTCTTTCTTTCCAGGCCAAATATACAGTAGCAACAAGGCAAATCATAAGTATGGAAAAAGTCACAACAAACACTGTCTTCCAAGGAGAGGTCCTAGGAAAGAAGGGCTCTGATACAGGGCCACAAAACCTGATTAAAATGATACATTGGCTGAGCCTACTCCACCCCAGCTCCCAAATGCCCCCTCCTTACTTCCGCCCTGTGCCTAAAATGAGCAACACTGACCTGGGATGGAAATGGTTTCCACCTGCTCTTGTCCAAAGAAGGGGTTCTTCATGGAGCAGGACACTTCTCCCTTTGAGCTGTCTCTCACAATGAGGGTTGCTTCAATCTGAAACAATCCATCATTATCTTGGGCCTCAACCTCCAAAAGAGATGGTATCTTCTCTCCCCTTGTACCTTCCCACTGCACCCCAGGCGGGGGAAACCATCCCCTGCCTGGGCACTTCAGCTCTACTCCTTTATCTTCTAGACCCACCATGAAGATGCGGGGACCAGAACCCAGCCCTAGAGAGGAAAACCAGTGATCTGAAACTTGGATTTTTTCCAGAAATTCCTAGAATTGCACCTTGGCATCACCAGTATAGGGGAATGTAGGAAGCACCATCATTCCTGGTGGGAAGAGACACTTTCTTTTTCCATGAGAGAAGTGGAAATTACAGAAAACTTGAAGCAGGCAATAAAAGTTATACTGGGATCTGTCACACAGCCTCTTAAAACACACCTGTGCTTAGTTAGGTTACAGAAGGATAATAGGAAAGGGGCAGAGTAAATTTTACCAACATTAAATTCTTTTAGAAAAATTTCATGCAGTTGTCTATGTGTAACATTTATTGAAGTCTCGAAGAAGATTGTCTTCCTAAGCTTAGCATGAAACAACTCCTTAAATAATCTTGTTTTATTTTTCCATTTTTCTTTCTGGCCCTAGGTAGAAATTATCTGAAAGATGAAGGCAGCCAGTGTAAGTGAGTTCTTGGAAAGCTCACAGCACTTGTCATTTTCTTACCTGCACCCTTTCATTTTACTTCCCACCACCTCTCCTCCTTGTCACTTCATCACATGTGCAGTCTAAGCACGGACTCATACAATCAGCACACGTAGCACAGCCTAACATGACCAGAGTGCTAAAGACCCCATTTTCCCTTTCAGAATAATGACCATCCCCCTGGCTGAGCCAACATATGATTTTGCCTTTATATCACATTGTATGAACTCTCTTATGTCTGGCGTAGTCCTAATTCTTACATGTAGGAAATACATGTAAAAACTCCAAATATTTTTGCACTAAATATTATAGCATAGTTTATAATAATTACTACCAGCCCTTGGCCCGCTGGAAGCAGAAAACAATCTGCAAGATAGTTCATCTTCTTAGAATTACCTTCCTTCTTAAACAGGATCAATAAATGTGGGAGTGAAACTGGTCCTGAGCAAAACAGAGCAGATCGAAATTTAGGAAACAAGGACCAGCAGGTGAAAGAGACCTTGCATTTCCTGGAAGAAAATAACAACTGAAGTTCTAAGCTAAAGTAGACAAGAGCTCTATCTCTGTTGAAAGAGAAGGACAGTGAGAGAAACTCAGGTTAAGCAAATGAAAGATAAGTGTTAATATATAATCAACAAGCTAGGTAAAGGTTAACTGAATATAATATAATAATAGATATTCAGTCAACCAACTAGGCAAAGGTCAACCATGGGGAAGAAAAGCATAATTATGTAGTCCATCAACTGAGTTTAAAGATTGGACTTGACTTTACACCCATTAATCAGTGAATTGATATGGGGAAGATACTGAAAAATGCTGTGATTTTCATGAGGTTTTTTCCTCAGGCTGTGGAAAATCTTTGACCACTTGGTGAGATAATTTTAAGGCAGGATCTCTGTAATAAGACTGGGAGAGTTTGCCACTCCTTTGAAAGCTAATGGACTTGGGTTCTTCCTATTAAAGTTATACACAAAGACCATAGATAAAAGAATTTTTTGAAGATGGCAATAGTTGAGAAATATTACATTAAGATAGGTCTAATATAGGGGCCGGGGATATAGCTCAGTGGCATAAGTGCCTGCCTGGCAAATGCAAGGTCCTGAGTTTGATTTCCAGTACCAAAAAAAAAAAAAAGAAAAAAAAAAAGAAATGGGAAGTTAGGTCTAATATAGTCGAAGTAGAAGGATATAAAAAATGAAAAATGGCATATTTGTCTTACCAGAAAGTATAAAGCTTTAGAAACTGAAGCAGAATAATATTGTAAAAGAAATGGGCACAAAAATAATTATAATCACATAGATAATTTAGAATTTGTGACGTTTATAGACAATAACACATTTGTAAATTGGTAGAGATTTTCTGCACTTGGGTATTGACTGATGGTATAGCAATAAAAGAATACAATTTTGAAAAATATGTTGAACATACTATGGACTTTCGGGGGGGTGGGTACCAAGAATCCAACTGAAGATCTTGCACTTGCCAGGCAGGTGCTGTGCCACTGAGCTATATCCCCAGCCCTCTACGGACTTGTGTACCAAAGCATTTCTGCAGATTAGTTTTAAACGTAAAAAGTATACCCCCAAAATGAATTGTAACTATACACAACTGGCTACATGGAAAAATCTCATAAACAACCTCAGGCCATAAAACTCAGATATAAAAGCTAACCTATGAGCTTGGAAGTGAGAATAGTCTTTATCCTTAAGTGGATGTTGACTGGAAACAGAAAACTACATTTTCCTGGATTAGGGTTAAGTGTATTTCCTGATCTGGATGCTAGTTTTGCAGGTTTATTTGTTTTTGAAAATTTATAGAATGCTAAATTTAAGGGTAGTATAAAATTTTCTGTTTATGTTACACTTCATTATGTTTCATAAAAATTATTAGGAGAAAGGTGAAATATTTTTCTGATGTTGATGTAAAAGCATGCTATGAAACAAAGAATATAGAAGAGAAAAATAAATACTGAAGGGAAAGGGAGAATTAACAATTTACATTTTATATCTTTCCAAATCACTTTAAGTTTGAGATTGTGCACTTATAATTTTCTTGTAAATGAAATAACAGTGAAAACGAAAACCTAGAGCAGTCACTTCTGTGTCCCATGGACTTCTTCTCAGTCTATTGCAGACTTTCACATTCTCTCTCTCTTTAGACCTTTTTATTCCGGACCCAAAGCTACTCAGCTAATGCTTTTCTCTACCTGTGCTTCACTTAGTAACTGAATGATGATTGTTTTTCTAACCTCAACACTTTGCTGACAGTATTGTTTTCTGGAAAGACCGTTCACCCTGACACAACACTTGGCCACTCTTCCGAATCATGCAATCAAGAGCTGGCCGCTAATGCTCCCCGGTGCGCCTTCGTACATCAGAGGCCCAGCGAGGTTCAGGTCTCCGAGAGCAACAGCACACTTGGATAGTCATGATGCTTTCCTTCAAAATGTGTGGAGATAGACACAAGGAGAGAAAAACTACCCATTTTTATAGTAGGCATTTGTACTAGTACAATTTTAAATTGCAGCACAATGAAAGTATAAATAGTTCCAAGAGCATTTGGGGGTCAAATCCGGTGTCTAAATGTTGGCCAACTCCCAGCACACTTGCTCCTTTTCTCTGTCCTACTTACCTCCATCCTCCAAGCATCCAAATCAAGCAAAGAACAGCTCCACCCCCGCCCCCGGAAGTGGTCTGCATTCTCAGAGGATTACTCACCTATCACCTTCAGCTCCAAAATGGCTTCTTCATATTGGTGTTCTTTTTTAGAAAAGCACATGTACACTCCATTGTCTGAGACCCGGAGACTGGATTCTCACAGCCGCTCTTCCATCAGCCATGTAATCCTTCACCAGCTCTGCTCTCCCTCTGAAATCCACCAGCTGTTCTCCCACCTGCTCCGCTCCATCCCGATACACGTACACCGGCCTCTGAGAACTGTGAGCGGAGCCATCCCAGCTCCATGTTCTCCACACTCATGGCTGGGAACACACTGCAGGGCAGCACGGTGTCTGAACCCAGCATGGCCACAATGGTCTCCAAGGGGCCAGTCACAGTGAAGGAATCTGTGGGGTAAAGCCAGAGGTGAAGAGAATACCAAAAAGTCCGGTCTGGACATGGCAGAGCACAGCACCTTAGTTTTTTGGGGTTTAGGGGGGTTTAGTTTTTGTTTTTGTTTTTTTTTGTAATGGGAGTTGAACTCATGACTTCGCACTTGCTGAGCAGGTGCTGTGCTGCTGAGCTATATCCCCAGCATCACCTGGTACAGCAAGCACTGGTCTAGCATAGTTCCATATACCTTCCTTAATTGCACACTCACAGCATGCTTTCGGACTGAGGAAGTGGTGCTGAACACGCAAAAAGAGTTTTTGTCCTTTTATTCTATTTACCCAACGGTGCAGTCTCCTACGAAGCAAATGGGTTTTGCTGGCGATGGCCGTGCATTTTATGAAGGAGGGGGAAGAGTGCTGGGATATGCCGAAACTAGACTTTTCAGTTAGGTCCTGGGTATCAGAAAATGTGCTACTCATGAACCTTCGTGTCCCTTGGTGCATGGACAAACACATCATTATATCAAAATAAAGGATTTGGAATTAACCCAGCTGAGAAATAGCTGATGGAGTCACTTAACTCTTCTGTATTCTTCTGTAGTCTCACCTGAGGTCCACATGGACAGCTGGAGTAGCAGGATAAAAAAAGCTGTCTTGAAAGTGAGAATTCCAAGGAAATTCCAAGCTTTCCCACTGCAAGAAACAGTTTGACACAGAGGCAGTTCCTGTAAGTAGCCAGGATAATGACAAGAATGAGACCCACAAGTGTAAAAAAATCCTGGCTAAGGTGGCTCACAGTGCTTCTAACAAACGACCTCCGGAGGCTCTCAGACACCTGCGGGGTCTCCCCAGGAGCCTCACGGAAGACTCTGACACTCACAACAAGGCCTTTCTTTTCTATCTTGCAAGAAAACAGTCCTCACTTCAATAGCCACATTCTGCAGTGATAAACCTGCCTATAGTGGCTCTAAACTATTCTCTCCTTCCAGAAAAACATTTTGTAAAATGCATGAAGAGATGAACAGGCAGAAGCAAGGGTGGGGAGCAACGGCATTATCACAAGCATCACTCGGGCGCCCACAATTTTTTCTCTACACTTGCTGTGTGATCAAGAAGAGACAACTCAGCCTATTCTCTGTCCATTTGAGGACCCCTGCTAGACCCTTCCACATCCCTCCCCTATGCCCATCACCCAGAGAAGGGTCATATGGCACTCACATCTTTTACTTTTACAGAGACGAAGGCATCCTGCAACTGCTGACCGCAATACTCCTGGCACCAGGAATAGGCACTCTCAAGCTTCTTCCTAGACTCCCCCGCACACACCGGCTGCTGAAGATCTCTCCCCGGACAACTGCTTTGAGATGCTTCAGAATTTGGGGTCCTGCAGGAAGATTTAGGTGGTCATTTCAAGGATGAAGAAAATCGGAAACAAAAAGGCCCCAACCACCACCTCATAGGAAATCTTAAGCAATAAGATTCTGTTCCATCAGCATGATAGTCTCAAAACTGAAAGTAAAATAAAATGAGGAAAGAGAACTTTGACCTGGCATAGATAATAAATCTACAAAAGATAAGAAGCCAAACTCAAAGGTGTATATATATAAGTTTTAGAACAGGCACTACTAAGCAGCAGTGACTTTTTTACTATTTTAAAGAGAGAAAAAATAAGACAGACTTTCAAAGCAAGATAATAGGAGAATAATAATGAATAGTACATTTCATATTGTTATCTTCATAGTAGTTACTCAGAGTACAAGATATAGGCATGAAATATTGGCCAAATAAAATTAACACAAACCTTTCTTTTCAATGAGCTAAGAGAGAATAGCTGTATAACTATTTTAACTATCTTCTGTGTATATTTTTTCCTTTTCCCTTCCTTCCTTTCTTCTTTCTCCCATCATAGTTTCTCTTCCCTTTTGAATTCTTCCCAATTCCCAATATCTATTGTACATTTTGGATCAATTTTACCTCATTCAGCTTCTCACACTAGTGAGATAATATGATATTTACACATGTGGATCTGATTGATTTCACTTATGAGGATGGTCTCCAGTTGCATCCATTTACCTATAAAAGCCTTCAGGTTATCCTTCTTTATGGCTGAGTAGTACTCCACCATATTAAAAGTTCACTTTTTTTAAAGAGAAAAAAACTAACAAAACAACAGCAAAGAAGACCAAAAAAATACACAAAACGATGCATGACCTCAAAACAAAATAATAATAAAGTTCACTTTTTTATCCATTCCTTGATTGATGAGTATCTAGGCTGTTTCCAAGATTTAGTTATTACATATGGTGCTGCTATAAACATGGGTGCACAAATATTGCTGTGATATGATGTTTTTAATTCTTCTGGGAAAATACCCAGAAGGGGAACAGCTAGGTCAAGTGGGGCCTCTAATCCTAGTTTTTGAGGAAATCCACACTGATTTTCACAGTGGTTTCACCAATCTACACTCCCACAAACAGTGAAGAAGGCTTCTTTTTTCTGTACAGCCCCTCCAGCGTTTGTTATTGGTTGACTTCTGCACAATAACCATTCTTTCTATAGTGAGATGGAATCTCAGTGTTGCTTTAATTTGAATCTCATGGATGACCAATGATGTTGAATATTTTTTCATATATCCATTTGCCATTTGTTTTTCTTCATCTTAGAAATATGTATACCTCTCTGATACTCATTTTTGGATTGGGTCTTTGAATTTGGGGAGACTGATTTTTTTTAATTCTTTATATGCTCTAGATACATATCTTTTGTCTGAGGGACTGTTGGTTAAAAATTTTTCCCACTCTGTGGGTTTTCTTTGTCCTTTGTTGGTGATTTCTTTGGATGTGTAGAAACTTTTTAATAAGATGAGATCTCAGTTGTTGATTCTCTGAAGTAGTACTTCCTGTGCAGTTTGGTTTTTGTTCATGAAGTCTTTGCCTACCACTTTGTTTTCAAGTCTACCTACTTTCTCTTCCAGTAGATTTACTGTTCCTGTTTTAATATTTAGATCTTTGATCCATTTTGACTTTAGTTTACTGTGTGGTGATAGACATGGGTCTAGGTTTAGTCTTCAGCATGTGGAAAGCCACTTTTCCCAGCACTATTTGTCAAAGAGGCTATCTTTCTTCCATTGAACATGTATGGCCTCTTTGTCAAAGATAAGGTGGCTGAGTGTGTTTGTAGTTGTGCCTGCATTTTCTAATCTGCTCCACTGGTCTTCATGTCTGCTTTTTTGCCAGTACCATGCTGATTTAAACAAGGTAACTTTGTAGTATAGTTGCAAGTGAGGGATTGTGATGCTATCCTGCCTTGCTTTTCTTGCCCAGAATTGCTCTTGCTATTCTAGGTCTCTTCAGGTTCCAAATGAATTTTAGCAATGTTTTCTGTAGATCTGTGAGGTATGCTAATGGGAATTTGATTGGGATTGTGTTAAATATCTATGACAGTTTTGGGAGTATGGCCATTTTCACAATATTGGTTCTTCCTATCTATGAGCAAGGGATAGCTTTCCATTTTCTGACACCCTTTTTTATCTCTTTTTTGACAGTACTGTAATTTTCAGTGTATGGATCTTTTATTTCCTTTGTTAGATTGATTCCTAAGTATTTCATTTTTTGGATGCTATTGTGAAGGGTGTAGTTTCACTAATTTCTCTCTCAATGAGTTTGTTGTTTGTGTACAGGAGGGCTATTGATTTTTCAATGTTGACTTCGTATCCAGCTCTGCTACTGAATTTAGTAAATAATTTTAGAAGTCTTTCCATAGAGTTTTTGGAAGTATCTTGTAGGGTAAGTAGAGTATATAGAGTATCATGTCATCTGCAGACAATGATAATTTCACTTCTTCCTTTCCTATCTTATTCCTTTTATTTCTCTCTGTTGTCTAATTGCTCTAGCTAATATTTGCAGAGCTATACTGAATAGGATGGACACAGTGAACACCCCTACTTTGTTCCTGATCTTAGAATGAAAGCTTTCAGTTTTTGTACATTTGGTATGATGTTTGTTGGTTTGTCAGAGATGGCTTTTATCATATTGAAGAAAAGACCATCTATTCCAGTTTTCTGTAGGGTTTTTATCATGAATGGGTGCTGAAGTCTGTCAAATGCTTTTTCTGCATCTATTGAGATGATCATGTGATTTTCTGTCTTTGGCTCTGTTCATATGGTGTGTTATATGATATGCATATGTGGAACCATCCCTACATTCCTGAGATAAATCCTCCTTGGTCATGGTGTATAATCTTCTTGATAATTTGCTGCATTCTGTTGGCTAGTATTTTATCAATGATTTTTGCATCTATGTTCATTATGGAGATTAGCCTGTAGTTTTCTATTTTGGTTGGGCCTTTCTCTGGTTTTGATATCAGAGTAATACTTGCCTCCAGGAATAAGTTAGGGAAAATGCTTCCCTTTCAATTTCATTAAGGAGTTTGAGGAGTATTGGTGTTAAATATTCTCTAAATTTCATGTAGAATTCAGCCATGTATCCATCAGGACCTGGGCTTTCTTTCATTGTTAAGGTTTTTATTACATTTTTTTATTTCATTAATTGATATTGGGTTATTTAGAATTTTTATATCTTCTAGATTCAGCTTTGGTAGTTCATACATTTCTAGGAATTTGTCCATTTCTTCTGTTTTCAAATCTGTGAGTAAAGGTTTTCAAAGTAGGTATTAATGATCTTCTGAATTTCCACAGTGTCTGTAGTTATTTCTCCATTTTCATTCCTTAGTGTGTGGATCTGAGTTTTTTCTTTCCTTTTTTGTTAAAGTTGGCTAGGGGCTTATCAATGTTGCTTATCCTTTCAGAGAACCAATTCTTGGATTCATTAATTCTTTGTATTCTTTTCTTAGTCTCGACTGCATTAATTTCTGCTCTGATCTTTATAATTTCTTCCCTTCTTTGGGCTTTGGCTTGACTTGCTCTTGTTTTCTAGAAACTTGAAGTGCAGCATTCAGTTGTTTACTTGTGTTGGTTCTGTTTTCCTCATGTGAGAATTCACTGCTATAAATTTCCCTCTGAGGACTGCTTTCATCACATCCTATAGATTCCAGTAAGTTACATTTGCACTTTTGTTTCATTGTAAATGTTGTTTAATTTCTTCTTTAATTTTTCCTGTGACTCAGTGGTTTTTCAAGAGGTATTATTTAATTTCCATGTGTTTATGCAGTTTTTGCAGTTTCTTTTGTCATTAATTTCCAATTTTATTGCACTCGGGTCAGATATTCCTTTGCATTTCCATAAGCATCTTCTTATGTGAGTATATAGTATATAGCATATTCTATGGGTAAGTATATATAGTGTCTCATGTGCAGCTGAGAAGAATGTGTATTCAGATGTTTTGGGGTGAAACACTCTGTAAAGGTCTACTAAGTCCATTTTTTCACAAGTTCGGTTCAGTTCTGTTATTTCTTTGCTGACTCTTTGTCTAGTTGATCTATCTTTTTGTGACACTGGGATATTAAAAGTCCCCTGTTAAAATTGTGTTATTGCTTATTACATCTTTCATGTCTGTTAGTATTTGTCTTATATATAGTTGGGTCCTTCTCTATTTGGTGCATAGATGTTTATGATTGTAATCTATTCTCTCGAAGTTTTCCCCTCACAGATAATAGTGACCTTCTTTGTCTCTTCTGATTATTCTTGGTTTGAAGTTCACGCTATCTGCAAACAGAATAGCTACACCCACTTTTTTCTGGGGTCCTGTTACATGGAGTATTGTTTCCCATCCTTTGATTTTAAGTCTATGAATTTCATTTTGAGTTAAATATATTTCTGACCAAGGACAAACCAGTTAGCTGTGGGTCAAACTTTTAATGAGGACAGAGTTCAGAATGGTTCTTGTCTTTGTTCTTTGGCTGGTGTGACCAGACAGTCCTTGAATAATGCGCAGCCTCCCACTTCACCCTGCCTTGGAAGGCTCAGCAGAATGAGCTGGCAGATAAAAGATAAGTGGCATGGAACTATCAGCTGAGGCCTTTGCTTCTTGACCCTGGATCCACAGTGTAATTATTTAGAAATCTGTTTTTATTTGTTTCTTTTAATTTTATTTTTTATTTGCATATACTATTTGCACATATTTATGAAGCATAATATGATGTTTTAGCTCATGTATTCATTGGGTAATGATCAAAGAGTAATTAGATAGCCATTACCTTAAAATTTTTATAATTTTTTCATGACTGCATATTTGTAATATAGAATAATGAGATTCATTTTGCTATATTGGTGCAGGCATGTAGTATATGTTGATTATGTTCATTGACATTGCCCGACTCCTTTCCTGCCTCTTCCCACTGTTCCCCTTCCCAGTCTCTAAATTTCTACCCTCTTTATCATGAACATAGTCAAACTCTTCCATTTTTACATATGTACTGTATTATTAACTACACCCTACTATGGCATGAAGCATCAAAATTTATTCCTTTCATCTAACTATGACCTTGTACCTGCTGACTACACTCTCTTTTCCCTGTTCCTCTATTCTTCTCTGTCCCCTATTTTGGTCTCATTTTCTATAACATTATTTTGGTCTCATTTTTGGTCTCATTTTCTATAACATTATCCTTCTTAGATTTATCTTCCATAAATGAAGGAGATCATGTGCTATTCATACCTCTGTGCCTGACTTATTTCACTTAACATAATGTCCTCCAAGTCATCCATGTTGTCACAAATAACAGAATTTCATGCTAAATGGCTAAGTAAGAAGGATGTGACATGGCTGAATAGAGGAGGAGTCACACTGGAGAGATTCAGAGAAGGTCAACCAAAAACCCAGGTAACTGGAAGCAACAGAATGTCATATGTAAATACTGATACAGGAAATCAATTTGAAAGAAGATAGTTGTACAGCAAACAAAATATCCAGTTAGAAGTGAAATAGTGGGATGTGGTCCACCAGAGCTGGTTGACAGGGCCCTCACCCCAGGAGCAGCCATCTTGAGAACTTTCCCAAAAGCCAGAGGGAAACAAGGAGCACTGTAGAGACTACTCCCAGGATAGACTCCAGATATATAGACCCCCTTGTCCAGTTATATCTCCTCTCTACGTGCTGAGAAAATTGCAACCCTGCAGCATCCTTGCCAGTGATCAGTAAGAGCAGAGAAAGCTCCCTCTCCACCTACCCGGGGAGTGAGATATTAAGCAAGTGAACTGTAACTGCCGGGTCCACACAGTTGCTCTTCGCTGAAGTCATCATCCAGTTCCCCTCATCATTACTGGGCCCGTTTAAGTCTTAACTGAGTGCCTCGGCAGGCACAAGTCACTTGCAGGTGACTCCAATTGCTCCCATGACAACTAGAACCTCCATCTGGCACACTGAGCTAACACTGGTCCAATCTGAATCTGTATCTGACACCCTGAGATAGCTTGAGTCCTCACCTGGTGCTCATAACCCTGCCAACACCACTGACTCACCAGAGACTGTTTTGCATCTAGCAGTAGTCCTGGGAAGCCTAGGTCTCCATGGGGAGTGCAAATCCTGCCTAGAGTCTCCACCTGGTGTTCTGGGTGTTCAGAGCCCCTACTCAATACAAAATCCAATGGAATTCTGCAAGGCTGTCAGCTCTAGCTAAAGGTCCCCCATTTTTCCTAATGGTTTGGGACCCTGTAAGACTCCACCTGGTGCCCTACACCCTACTGGGTCTCACTAGAATTTCCCCCTATCAGACCTGAGTGCACATGGGCCTCTACTGAGAGCTCTAGACTGGCATGAGCCTCCATCTGGTGATTTAAACTTTTCCCAGAGACACAGGAGTATCCATTAGATATCACACAATGGTGGCCAAATAGCCCCAATCCAAACCGGGTTTTCCAAGCCTGCTTGAGTCTTCACCCAGAACCTAAAGACCCACAAATTTCCTGGGCCCAATTCGCAGTTTAGGCAATTGCCACAGACAGGGTCTTACAGACAGGGAGACCTCTCAAACCAAGGGATCGCCACAGAAACTCACATGCTATCAATTGGTCAGAGAGCAAAGTGATTTGTTAGGTTAAAGACAGAAGGCTCTGAAAGAAAAACGCTCTTCCGGAAATGTGTAGGAATTTTTTTTTCTTTTTTCACTTTTTTTGACTGAATATTTTTTCATTTTCTCTTCCATTGATACTTTGGAGTAGTTTGGAGTTCTATCATCCATTTTCTTCTTCCTGTTTTTAAAAATATTACAGAGTTTTATTGGTTGGATTAGAATATCCTCTCTCCCTCCCCCTCCCTTCTTTCTCTCTTCTATAGTATTTTTCACTTTTCTCTAGGATAATCTCTGTTCCCTATTATTAATCTTTTTCCTTGTTTTATTTTTCCATTACAGTTATTTAAAACTACTAATTTTTCTTTTACTCCTTAATAGGATCTTTTATTTCAATTTTACTGTCTTTGTCCCATCTTCTAATGCTTATTTTTTTCCCATTCTATTTGTTCACACTCCCAATACAGTATTACTATCCTCACTAACATAACAATTAACCACTGTGAATCTATAAATAGTTGAATATATCATATTATAGTTGAACATTGTTCTATTGCTCCTGCATGTAAAATTGTTCTACTGAAGGATTTTTTACTGTGTATCAAAATCTGGTTTATCTTAGAGTTTGTACTATTAGCTGTAGTATGCATTTCTGTGCTTAAAGATGTTACAGTGTTAATGGTTTGATGTTATCCTGTTTATATTTGATGCTATTTTTTTTATTTTAAAGGGTGTAGTAAAAAAATAGCAACATACCAACATCATGGGCAAAAACAAAATAAAGCAAGAACATTAAAAATGATACAGGGGGCAGGGGATATAGCTCAGAGGCATAAGCACTTGCCTGGCAAGCCTGAGGTCATGAGTTTGATTCTCAGAACAAAAAAAAATGATACAGGGTTTCAAAACAAAATGATAG